TCCTTTTCCTTTTCCTTTTCCTTTTCCTTTTCCTTTTCCTTTTCCTTTTCCTTTTCCTTTTCCTTTTCCTTTTCTTCCTTTTCCTTTTCCTCCCCTTTTCCTTTTCCTCTTCCTTTTCCTTTTTCCTTTTCCTTTTCCTTCCCTTTTCCCTTCCCATTCTATTCTACACACACGGTGGTGTTGACCCTCCCAAGGGGACAGCGTTGCCACCCCGAGCAGAGCCGAGCCCAGCCCCTGCCCAGGGCACAGCCAGGCACAACCACGCAGCGTAACCACAGACGGGGGCTCCCACCCCCCCAGGAGCGGGTGCCCCACTGCAGGAGCACGCCGGGCTCCCAGTGTAAGGGGAAGGGGTCATCCCGCCCCGTCCTTGCCCGAGCTGCTCCTCGCCCCGGGAGCGGGATCTCTGCTGCGGAACGAAGCTCCGTGAGTTAAATCTGCCGGCCCACGTGTCGCAGGAGGATGAGGCACGGAGCGTTGTCACCTCCTGGGTGGCCTTGGACACCCCTCACTTCCTGAAAAGCACCACGCCAGCCCACAGCAAATCCTCTGTGCCTCCTCAGCCAACAGCTCATCCCTTCCTCCTCCTCCTCCTCCCTGCCATGTCACCACAGTAAATCAAAGCCAAAGGCAGCATCCCTCTGCAGGACCCCTCCGTGGTCCTTATCACCCTCCCTGGTCCCCACCAGCCAACCTGACCCCAACACCACGATGCCCATTCCCAGCCCACCCGGCCTCCAGCACAGCCACGCCAGAGCCAAGAGGGAAGGAAAAAAAAAAAAAAAAATCAGAGAAACTCATCGGGCACTTACTTCTCATAGTCGTGTTTGCAGTAGAGCTGCCGGTTGCGGCAGTAGCAGGTCCCGGAGAGTGGCTGCAGGCAGACGGTGCATTTCACGCAGCCTTCGTGCCACGAGCGCTCGTTGACACGCAGGAGGAACCGGTCGGAGATGGGGGTGTCACAGCCGGCGCACACCTCCCGCATCTTGGAGTCTGAACCTGGGCAGCGGGGAAAAGACGGCGTGAAAAGGAGGATCGAGTCCTGCAGCAACAGTGTCTGTCTTTTGGGAGGGGGTGATGCTTAGCCTGACATAAACTCCTCGCAATCATCCACTGTTGGGTTTTGCTTTTGTGTTCTTAGAGCCACGTGGCATTAGTGTAGGAGAGGGAGAAGGGAGGCTCAGCACAGAGGGGTTTTGTGACAACCTTGGAAATAAATGTCAAAGTTGGCTCTGCGAAAGCAGCAGGTTTTGGGTTTCTCCACAGGTGGCAAATTCCTGGTGAACCCCAAGCCCACAGCTCTGGCGCTGTATAAATCACATTTGGGAACGGGAGAAGAAATATACGTGTGTCTCGATGGGAGACAGTGGGTGCTGAGCTTGGTGGAAACCTTGGTCAGGGTCAGAGGACAGACCTTGCATCTGAATTTCATCCAGTTTCACCCCAGATTTGGTGCTAAGAGCTGCTAAAAAAGGCTCCAGAGCTTTGGCATTTTTTTTTCCTCCTCGGTGTTATCAACATGTAAATCTATGGCTGCTCTTCAAAGGCTTCATTGGGAGAACTTCAAGGTAAAGGAGGCAGCAATAAATACGCTATCTGGGGCGCTGGATCTGGGCTGCGGGCTGAGCCAGGCAGCGGCACCCTCTCCGATGTCCACAACCTCCACCCTGCCAAGCTCCTTGGCTTTTACGAGTGCTTATCTCTGTCCTCTCCAACCTCTCGATGCTTTTCCCCTCCTGTCAGCTTGTGGATCCCGGGGTAACACCCACCCAAGCCCCCTGGGAGGGTTGGGGAGTTGATGGCATCCCATGGACAACGCAGTGAGCTGCCAAGAGCTGCTGCACCTTGGAGGAACGTGCTGTTGAAGGGGAACGCTAAGCCCAGCTCTAATCTAGGCACCGTCCCAGGGCAAGGAGACAAAGCCAACCAGTAGCGCTGGGAAGTGGCAGGAGACGCGCTCCAGCGGAGAGCGCGTGCCTCTGTGCCAGGCTGCGAGACCCGGAGGAGCATCTCCAGCAAAAGGGGATTTTCTGCTTCTCTGGGAACACGCTGAGACCCTCCCTGCCCCCCAGATCTCCTCTCCCAGGCTCAGGGAAGCAGCACTTAGTCCTGCCTATACTCCTCTCCTGGGAAAGATCCCGGCCAGGACCCGAATCAGCCCATCACCAACTTGTTTTCCAGCTCCTTGGTCTCCTCCGGCTCAAATTGGTGGCAGGAGGAGGGATGAGCGGTGCATGGAGCAGGCAGGACTGCCACGGTGGAGGCAAAATGCCGGCAGACAGAAAGTATCTGCAAGCAGGAAGCTTTCAGAACCCTTCTTCTGTCCAGCTTTAGCTTTCCCAAAGTCCTGAAATCACTTGAAGCCGCAGCAAATGCTCTCTGCCGTGCAGCGCGCCGCTGCTGCGACACCAGTGTGCGAGGGATTGTTTGCAGGGAGCAAACTGGGCCGATTTGGGCATTGTAGGCACCCAAAAATGGGGGTGTCTTGTGCTAAAGCAGCTTCTGCCCCAATTTATTGCAGGGTTTGGGTTTGGGTCCTGCATCTCCAGGCTCGCAGCCGGCGCCGCAGCCAGCTGAGCCTGCAGACGTGCCCGGGCGATGCTGGACGTTGCGGCAAGCCGAGTCCTTTGCAGCTCCCAGGCTCGGCACAGCTCGTTAATTAAGTGCTGGGACCTGGAAATCGGGTGACAGCATCAGCTGGAGAGGGGACCAAGACCCTGCCGGCCCTCCTTGAAGATCGGGATCCAGCAGATCAGGAGTGGAAATGAGGATTTTAGCCCAAGAAGAGGAAAAAATGAATGTCTGCCATGCTGGTGGTAGAGCGGGAGCAGCAGCACGAGAGCTGTCAGGGTGCAGCTCCGTAACGCCAGGAGTGGCCAAGGCAACAAGCAACCACGTCCCAGGGGCTGTGGGCACGTGCAGGGCTTCGCCGCAAATATTTATCCCACGTCAAGCCTCCACACCTCGCTTTTTCCTCCCTTATTAGTGGCTGGAGTCAAATATTTTCAGCCTTCTTGACTTTGACCCCACAGGCTGCGCGTCACTGCGGGACCAGCCAAAGCTCCAGTGGGTTAGAGATATCTGGGACTAAAAATCCCCAACTCCTCTTTAATTTGGGGGGAAGAAGCAGGGAATAATATAATAGTAGATTAGTCTGAGAGCAGATAGTTAAATTGCCAGGTTGCTCCTGGAATGTGGGATCAGTTTAAAAGGGAGAGACACAAAACTTCAGCCCGGGGATGTTTGTCCCTCCCTCTGGCTCCGTGAGCAGGCAGGAGGGGGCCGGAGATTTGGGATGGCAGGAGACAGCAGAATCCTGCCCGCTGCCTGCCTGTGCCGTGGCTCGGGATGCACGGGCAGGGCCCGGAGAGGAGGTTTTGCCCGGAGATAAGTCACAGCTGAGTCTCGCTCGGCACAAGGCCACGAACACAGCGATGCCATAACACAACGGGAGAGGAGCGAGTGATCCCGAGCTCCGGGGGGAAGAGGGGATGTGAAAAATCCTGGGAAAACTCTCGGCCTGCCTGAAACCCCCCACAGCCAGCCTGGGAGAAAGAGGCAAAACTGAAAGTAAAGGAGATTCTGCCCTCAAGACCATCAGGCTTCTGCAAACGCAACAGTTTGGGCTTGCAAATACGTTAAGGGAGAGCAGCCCCGGCCCACCATGTTGTGTCTCTGCGAAAGGGAAAAGGGACGACGAGGGGGACGCGACCCGGCACCGACGCGTGGGTGCCTCGGTCACAGTTAACCCCCCGCATCCAGACACCGCCCCCCATGGCCTGTGACCCCCCCGCCGGCTCGAGGGGTGCCGACATCCTCGCTGTCAGCAGAACTTGGGGTCGGCAAAGGCGGCTGGGCTGGGCGAGGGCCGCGGCGCCGCGGCCGGGGCTGGCAC